AATGTCGAAAAATTCGCGAACTTTCAAATTTGGGACGAAAAAAACATAAACTCTCGAAATGTCCTTTAAATCATAAAGTTTAGGTTGACTTTTTGACAAAATAGTGAAGTTTAGTTTGACTTGGCCATTTCAGGCATGCCGTTAAATTTTCGTTAACTCTCCGTTGAGTCTAAACGACGTCGTTTTGAAACTCTGAAACGACGTCATTTCATTAGAAAATAAGATGGAAAAACTGCATCTGTCGAGAACCAAACAGCTGACCTACTGGTATAATGAGAGGTGCTCAACCATTGAGCTACAATAACATTTTGGTATTATACCAAACCGAACATATATATACTAACAAATAACTACGTACAATTAATTAAAATTATATACAATTTATTAACAATAACAAAACTAAAAAAAAATAACCAAACATATACAAATATTAAATATACTTCCATAAATATATATTTTGAAATTTTTAAATATTTTAATTTTATATATATATATATATAACTTGCTTCGATATTTGGAAAAAATTGTTTCCTAAATTATAAAAAAAAAAACAAAACTGAAACTTATTGAATATGGTAAATTAAATATATGATATAAAATTTATACAATCCTTCTCACATAAATATAAAATTTATACAATCCTTCTCACATAAATATAGGATATATATTTATACAATCTTTAAACTTATAATTTATACAATCTTTATTCCTATAATTATACAATCTTTAATCCTATATTTGTGTGAGAAGGATTGTATAAATTTTATGTCATATACTTAATTTTCTATATTCTATAAATTTCATTTTTTTTTTTTTATAATTTAGGAAAAAATAATTTTCTAAATAAAGAAGAAATCTTTATATATAAAATTAAATTTTTAAAATTTTAAAATATATATTTATAGTATGTATATTTAATATTTGTATATGTTTGGTAATTGTTTTTTAGTTTTGTTATTGTTAATAAATTGTATATAGTTTTAATTATTTGTACAATAGTTATTTGTTAATTTATATATGTTTGGGTTGGTACAATACCAAAATGTTATTGTAGCGCAACGGTTGAGTGTCTCTCATTAGTCTAGTAGGTTAGTTGTTCGATTTTCTATGGGTGCAGTTTTTCATCATATTTTCTAATGAAACGACGTCGTTTAGACTCAACGGAGAGTTAACGAAAATTTAACGGCATGCCTGAAATGGCCAAGTCAAACTAAACTTCACTATTTTGTCAAAAATTCAACCTAAACTTTATGATTTAAATGACATTTCGAAAGTTCATGCTTTTTTCGTCCCAAATTTGAAAGTTCGCGAATTTTTCGACATTTTTTCCTATAGTAATTATCTATATTGCATGGAAACGGAAACGGAAATGTGGAATCGAAACGTTTCGGCAATGAGAAGCGATTTTTTTCTAAAATTAGGAGTTGGAAACGTATACACATATATATAATATATATAACATTAAAATTAAACTATATTAAAAATGGTTTAAACAATACAAGTCTAAAACATTAAATATTAAATAGGTTAACTAAAATTCTATAAAAATTAAGAGGTTCAAGTTCAAATATTTAACTTAGACCATCGTATTTCCAAACATAGATTTTTAGGAAACGCGTTTCCGTAATATTTTTTGTGTTTTCGAAGAGTTTTTGTTTCCGAAACGTTTAGGAAACGGGAAACGGACCTCGGAGAAACTAATTATTGAAACAAAATAATTAATAAGAGCCTGAACAATAATAAAACAGATAAAATGTGATCAAAACATTAAGTAGGATAAAAATTTGGAACTAAATCACACAACAATCAAAATCTTCGAGGGTGTGTAACCATGTACATACTTCAAACAAAATTAAGTTTTGTCTAAATTTTAAGCATAAACACTTAAGCACCTATAACGTTTTTTTTTTTAAAAACCCCTCTAACTCCACAATTTTTTGCACCCCTAAAAAATAAAGAATAATCATACGAATTTTAAGATAATACGCAATGTAACCGTTTTTCGTTACCGTCAAGTTTTTGAAATTTTGATAAATAATATGTCAAATCCAAGCCTTTACAACTATTTTTGACTGATATATTACGTATTATTGTTTTACTTCGTTAGATTAATCTGCATTTTCTGGAGGTAGCGGGTAAAGTTTTAAAAATTGTCGAGTTAAAAGGTTTTTTGCACAAAACCCATATATAAAAAAAAATATTTTAAAAAATATTAATCTTGTAGAGCTCCAAAGAAGCGTTAGAAGTTCGATCTCTGATGGAAGACTTCCCACCGATAGATCTTTCTTATTTTTGGGCACAAAATCTTAATTCATATTACAGTGAAACCTCTATAAAATAATAAACACGACACATTTAATAAAATTTAGTAAAATACATTGATCCCAATATTATTAATTTAAAGAGGTTTTTATATGTTTGGCTTACACCCTCAAATTATCTTAATTGTTATTTAATTTACTTCTGATTTTATTTTTTTCTGGCAAAAGCATTTTTTTCATTCCAACCAAATATTTTACAAAACTTAAGAATACTACAAATTTAGAGCTTACAAACTCAAATATAAAGGCATCTAGAGATGCAACAAAGTTAAATCTAGGATAAGGCAGCAATGGATCCATGAAATCACGGAAACAAGAGTTGAAACACAAGTTGCCACAAGCGAAAGAATGGTTAATCGGGATCACACCCACGAGGATTGAGGAATTAGTCACATTCAAAAGAAGTGGTGCGTTGAAAATACTTCCAACACCATGATCTTACTAATTATATGTTCCTATAATATATTTAAACAGAAAAGGGTTTCATACATTTAAAATTCTTGGTTGTTTGCACATATTATAAAAATCTTGTGAATCTCGTGGAAATTTTTTTTTATAAACATTACATTAAGAACTACCAACAACATTAAAATAGAATAGGGTTTAATACAACTAAAATTATTGGCTGTTTGCACATAATAAAAAATCTTGAGAATCTCGTGGAAATTTTAATAAACGTTATTTTAAGAAAAACTACCAACAATATTAAAATAGAAAAGGGTTTAATACAATTAAAATTCTTGGATGTTTGCATAGGTACGTGTAACGTGTGACGTGTTCAAGAATTACAATATTGTATCCATGAGATTCACAAGATTTGCCTTCTATTTACTCCAAAACATGACAAAACTCAAGAAAGACTAAAAGACACGACAAACACTCTTGAACTCAATAAAATTAAAGACTCAAAATAGACATCAAAATAATTGTTAAAAGCTATAAATAATATGATTACCATCGTACGTGCTCCGAAATGAAAGTTGGTTTTTCCTTTTTGATTATTTATTTTCGGATTCTCCTAGACTTTTAGATTTTTCTGCTAGGATTTTTATTTTATATTTTTACATAAGGAGAAATGGTAATTCTTTTGAACATGATTACATGAGTCTTATAGCCTTATAGGTCACGAAATTGTACCTTAAGTTTTGTGAATACCATAGGAGGAATAAACTCCCAACTCAAATCTCTGTATTTCAATTTGATTTTTCAAAGTTTAAATCTTCTGCGGTGGGAAACTGCGTCGTTCGTTTCTCTCATACATTTCTGCACATAACTGCTAATATGAGAAAAGTAAAAGACAGCGCATGGAGTCTAAAAAGAGGTAATGGTTTAAGGGTGAGAAACACTAAACTGATGAGCAGCCATCTAGCTTCAACTGAGACTTGTAAAACGAATAAAGAGTCCTCAATGTATCCGCTTGTTTTCTTGGTCTAACACACCTTCAATGAGAAAGAATTAAGTCCGGTTAGTTGTCCAAAATAATAGAGTTCACATCAGTCGTACCAACAATATCGCTGTAAGATGAGGTTTCCGAGAAGAGATCCAGCGGTGATTTTCTAAGTATTGTCCACTTTAAATGAATCCTACAAAAGTTGTCACTTAATGATTTAAAACACAAGATAGTCATGTATTATCAATCGATTATATGTATTTAATTAATCGTAAAGATTTGTATCCCTTAATTACATAATTTAATTTGTATTTTTGTTTTAATGAATTAAGTAAAATATGTGTAAGTAATATCAATTTCAAATTATGTAATGTTGGAAAATTAATTAATGGAAGATTGACAAAAATATCACTAAAATAAGTTTTTCTTCCAAAAATAGCACTACAATTGAAAAATTCCAGCCAAAATTGGAAAATTAGAAATTTCTCGCCAAAATTTATTTTTTCCGCCAAAAAATTTCCGCAACGTAAAAATATTTTTCCGTCAAAAAAAAATTTTCAACATTTTTCCGCAAAAAAAAAAACCTTCAAAATTTTCCCGCAAAAAAAATCCACGAAATTCAGGAAGGACTCCTTGAATTTCAGGAAATGATTCCTTAAAAGTGCACAAAATTCAGGAAGGATTCAACGAAATTCAGGAAGGATTCACGTAATTCAGGAAGGATTTCATGAATTCATGAATTTCAAGAAGGATTCCACGTAATTCAGGAAGGGTTTCACGATCCTTGGTAAATTTCGTGGAATCCTTCATGAATTTCTTGGATTTTATTTGTCGGAAAAAGTCGAACGGAATTTTTTTTTGCGGGAAAATTTTGACGATATTTTTTTTTGTGGGAGAGGAAAATAATTTGGCGGGAAAATTTTGACGGAATTTTGTTTTGGCGAAAAAATATTAACGATGAATTTGTGATTTTTGTATTTATTTATAATTATTTATTAATTTAAAAAATCAAAAATAAGGTACTATTTTATATAGATTTATAGTTATTTATTAATTTAAACAATGATTTTTACTGTATGAGCCTTAATACTAGTGCAATTAAGACCATGGACATCGGTGAAACAATAAGAGTATCATAAGCCCAAATATGATTTTTTTAATGGATCAGACACAATTTTTGGGCTTGATCCGTATCACTGGGGTGAGACTTTTGATACCCAGTATCGTTGACGTGGAGGCTTCTTATTGGTTCCGAAAACGCGTTTTTTTCTAAAAACAGGAAAAAGAAAAAAAAAATCTCATTCTTCTTCTTTCCTCTCTAACCCTAGAAACGCGATGGAGAAAACGATTTCTTCTCCTCCGCCGATCTCCTGCCTCCGCTCCCTCCGTTTCTTCTCCGGCTCCATCTCTTCAATTCTATTTCACCTCTTCGTTACTTCTTCGGCTTCATCTCCTCGATTCTATTTCACATTTCCTCGGGCGATTTTCGATTTCTCCTCACCTCCATGGTCTAACAAGCTTTGATTTGTGCTTCTCTCCTCTCCTCCGCTCCTCCTGCTGTTAAGGCCACTAATAAGCCTTTGAAAGGTATGAACTTTGGTTCCCTTTTACCTTAAATGCTTTGGTCTCTGTCTTTCTCTGTTACATAACGAGTTTGGTCTTGAAAGTTTACATTTTTATATCTATGTTTCTCCTTCTGATATGTCTGATGGGATTATTTGTGTAATTTGTTTGTCTCATGAACCCGTAAGATTGGTTTGGGAATATAGGTCTTAGAATTCGATAGGTGTTGTTTGTCTATCTCTGTAGTATATTTCAATCATGAATTCAGAACCTTTAATGATGAGATTGAACGTTTTATTGATAAAAACTTTGTTTGCTGCTTCTCTTTAGGTAAGAGAGAGCCTGAAGATGATGTTGATACTAAAGTGAGTCTTAAGAAGTAGAAGGAAGACGTGATTGATGTTGTACAAAAGTAAAAAGCTGTGAAGAAGGTGACTAAGAAGGTTGAGAGCTCTGATTCATCAGATTCTGAATCTAAGAAAGATGAGAAGGTATAACTTTTACTGTCTTAATTTATTTTTGGTGGTTTGAGCATATGGATTGAGTTATTTCTAATCAGCTTTAATACATCTGACAGGCTAAGAAAGTTCCAGCGAAGGCTGCAACCAAGAAGCATGCTGCGGCTGCTGCTAAAAAGGCCAAGGTCTGAGAGTTCGTCTGAAGATGATTCATCCTCTGATGAGGACTCAGATGATGATTCTGAGGATGGGGTGATAAAATTTATCTCGTACTTGTAGTATCTTAAGTTTTCTACTTGTTGATCACTTATTTCACTTATGAAATGTGTTTTACTAGTACTGAAACTAGTTGTATTTGTTTAATTTAAATAGAAGGCTGCTGCTACCAAGGCTGCAAGTAGTTCAGATTCATCTGATGAAGATTCTGATGAGGTTAGCTTAACATATTTGATTTGATAGTCTTAAAATTCTTTTCAAACAGCTTTGTATTTTCTTTATATCAGTCATTGACATCATCCATGTGTCTGTTGATATTTGCAGGAAAGTGAAGATACTACTGAATGTCTTCATGGTGCAATTGCTATGGAGAAGATGCGTTGGTGAAAGGTACACACCAAAATTGCTTTAATTGTTAATTTATGTGTGTGTAAAATTGAATTGAATTGAGATTAGGAACAATTGAATTAAATAGAAACTGACCACTTTAATTTAATAGAGATTAGATAGATGTGGTTGAGAATGCAGTTGTCTTTAAATGAATCAATGAATACAGAAGAAGTAGATAGTGAATTTATTGTCATCTCTATAACAATAGTTTCTCTGAAGTTTAATGTATTTGTGGCGTTGGTGATGAGATGGAGTGAATTTAAACAGAAAAAAAATATTAAATGCAACTGAGCTTAAACTTAAAGTTCAATAACATTAGCCATCTAAATTAAAGTTATGTTGATAGCTAGTGTCTCAGTGACTTGAATTAGTATTGTGTTTGTTATTTATTGAGGCTTTTCCTTTATAATGACTCTATGAGAACTAAACAAACCACTTAAACTCTTCTAAAACACAAAATGGCTTCCAACTTAAACTTTTCCTCCTCTCAGTCCTTTACCAATCTCTTGATTAGCCAAGAAGATAACCCAACGCCTCTCAGTCCTTCACAGCCTCCTTTTTCTGAATCCCAAACACCCACAGCCTTAGCTAGGGCGTCTAGAGTGAGATGGAGTGTTCCTGAAGAGAAGGCATTTGCAAGTGCCTGGCTCAACACATCCAAAGACTATGTTGTGGGGAATGAGCAGAGATCAGCTGCCTTTTGGGATAGGGTTGCAGCATATTATGCTGCATGTCCTGCTGTCTCTAAGCTCACCATCCGAGAGCCAAATACTTGTAAGCAAAAATGGCAAAAAATGAATGAGCTTGTCATGAAGTTTGCAGGCTGTTATGAGTTTGCCTCTCGGACTCCTCACAGTGGAGAGAATGAAGATGATATTATCGTGCTGGCCTACAAGCTTTACCATCAAGATCAAAAAAACAAATTCAGTCTTGAGCATGTTTGGAGAATCCTCAAGACTGATCAGAAATGGTGCAATTGGTGTGAGACCAAACTTCCTGCCAAGAAGAAAGCTAAACTTTCATCTGTAGAAGAAGAGAGTCTTCAAAGGCCTATAGGTGTGAAGGCAACCAAGGCTTTAGCCAAGTCCAAAGGTAAGGGAAAGAGTGAAGGAGGAGCTGAAGCTAGTTCTGCTGCTGAACTTCAGCTTTTGTGGGAAGTGAAAGAGAAGGATTTGGCTGCCAAAGAGAGACTCTCCAAGCAGAAGCTACTTGACAGCCTTCTTGGAAGGTCTGATGGATTGAGTGAGTTGGAAATTCAACTTAAGAACTCTCTTATCCAAGAGTATCTGTCTGGAAGCAATGTGTTTGTTTTTGAGAATGAATATTCTGGTCTTTAGGTATGTGTTTGTTAGTTAAGTTGTTTTGTTAACTTAACATGTATTATTATTTGATATTCTTTGCTTTTTTATGTGCAGGACCTCCTCTTGGAAGCTAGTGATGTCGGCAAGGAAAGGATTGAGAGTATCTGTTGCTTGAATGTAGGGTTGTGTGACTTTATGCGGATGTACTTTGTTTTTTGCTTTATTCGGATGTACCTGCCAAGAACAGAGCTACTATTTGTTTGTTTTTAGTAGCACATGGCATATGGTCGGCAATGTTTTTGTGGTCAGAAGCCACTTTTTTTTACTTTCTATGGTCTTTGTCTTAGTAGCACAATGTATTGTGGAGAAACCACTTGTTGTTTTGTTTTAGTAGCACAATGTATTGTCGACAATATATTATTGGTACAATTCTCTTATATAAATGTCTTTGTCTTCTCATATTGAAATCCATTCGAAACAATTCTTCCTCTTCTCCTATTTTTCATTACAATTCTTCTCTAACCAAGTCTTTGTTTTCATTTACAAACCACAAAACTCTTTTAATTCTTTTCCTTCTCAAACCCAATTCTCTTTTAATTGTTTAACTTCTCAAAAACAATTCTCTTTTAATTGTTTTACTTCTCAAACTCAATTCTGTTTTGAATTGTTTTCCTTCTCAAAACCCATTTCTCTTTTAAATTATTTTCCTTCTCAAAACCCAAATCTCTTTCAAATCATTTTCCTTCTCTAACCAAAATCTCTTTCAAATCATTTTCCTTCTCTAACCAAAATTTCTTTTTATTTCTTGTACGTTTTGCTTCGTAAATAATAATGGCATCACATTCTAATGATGATGACACTTTGGAGGAGAGGTTTGAAACATGTTTTGAAGATGGTTTAGAGAATTTCAGTAGACGTGTAGCGGGGAAAAAAAGAAAAAAAGGGCTGCTAATATAGAGAGAGATCACGAAGAAGGAAATATTCGATTATGGAACGATTACTTTTCGGATGACCCCGTTTACCATGATCGCATGTTCCGACGACGATTTTGTATGACGAAGCCGTTGTTCCTTCGTATTGTTCAAAGTCTTTCTCAATTTCCATATTTCCAACAAAGGGACGATGCTACTGGGAAGCAAGGTCTATCTGCCCTACAGAAATATACTGCCGCAATTAGGCGTTTGACATATGGTCTTGCAAACGATGCGATGGACGAATACCTCCGCATGGGCGCAACCACTGTGAGCCAATCACTAGAGAATTTTGTAGATGGCATAATAAATTTATTCCAAGACGAATATTTGAGGTGGCCAACACGTGAGGATCTAGAACGGTTACTTCATTCTGGAAAGGAACGCGGATTTCCGGGAATGGTAGGAAGCATTGACTGTATGCATTGGGAGTGGAAGAATTGTCCTACGGCTTGGAAAGGACAGTATTCACGCGGACATGGAAAACCCACTATTGTTTTAGAGGCCGTGGCATCACAAGATTTATGGAGTTGGCATGCTTTTTTTGGGGCTCCAGGTACGTGTAATGATAAAATGTTCTTGACCGCTCACCGGTGTTTGATGATATATTAGAAGGTCGAGCTCCACGACTCAGGTACGAAGTCAATGGACATCAATACAAAATTGGTTATTACCTCACAGATGGTATATATCCGAAGTGGGCAACATTCATCCAATCAATTACCCGCCCACAAGGACCGAAAGCATCATTATTTGCTAGTTGTCAAGAAACAGTGAGAAAAGATGTCGAGCGTGCTTTAGGAGTCTTGCAGGCTCGGTTTGCTATTATTCGAAACCCAGGTCTGTTTTGGGATAAAGAGCGAATGGGCAAGATAATGAGAGCATGTATCATATTGCACAATATGATTGTAGAAGATGAACGAGACGAAGATATTCAGTTCGATTTATCTGATTTCGTAGAAGGCGAAGGAAGCGGGACTTCTCAAGTTGACAACTCTTTTTCTACAGAGACAGCTACAAATGTGAACAATTTGATGACCAATCGAGCTCAAATACGTCATGAACAAACACATCGACAATTGAAAGAAGATTTGATTGAACATATTTGGCAAAAATGGGGCCAAGGTAATTGACTACAAGCGACTAAATTATTTTTATCATCATGTTTTTTTGAATTTTATGTTTTATTTTGCTTAAGTATATTCTACGTTTTTTTTTTATTGTAATATTACCTTTTGTAATCCTATGGTTAATATATTAAATTTTGATTTTGCAAATTTTTTTTTTTTATGATACTTAAACCGGTTTCACCAATGCAAACATATTTAGTAAAAATATCATAAAAAATCTCAAACAATAAACAAACATGATAAATAATACTAAAAAAGTCCTAATAATACTATATGAGTATCACCCATATACATGGTCTAAGTATATTTGGTTAAAACGGCCTCAATTTCAATCTTTTTTCTCCCTCTTCTAATTTGGGGTTTTAAAGCTCTCCCGCCAAAATAATTGACCGGTAATTGCCGGTCGTTAGCCTTATAGCAACTGGTTAAAAAAAAAAAACCCTCTAAATCTGACCGACAACCATTCTTCTGGCGCCGGCGATTTGACTCTTTTCCGAGAAAAATCGAAAACCCTAATTTTTTTCCCTTTTTGTACAGATTCACTCTTCTTTGGGTCTCTCTAGATTTCGATGAAATTTCGAGAATCTAGGGTTTCAAACTAAAATTGAGTCTTTGAGATTTGCCAATTTTCATTATGAGCTCTATCAATATCACTAACGTCACCGTCTTGGACAATCCAGCGCCATTCGTGAATCCATTCCAGTTCGAGATCTCTTACGAATGCTTGACTTCTCTCAAAGACGGTACCTTTTACTCTCCCTTCTCCTCTATCGTTCGAATTGATTCGATTTTGTTATTAAATTCTTTGAAATCGATCGAAAAATGAAGAACCTGTGATTGGTATATGTGATTAATGCAACAAAATTTCAACTTTATAGCAATTGTTCTTAATCAACATTATAGTTTTGGTATTTAGTAGCTTCGTCTCTGCTCTATGAGGATTGTTTACTGTGAATAGTGATTTTGTATGTGTTGGCTCTCAAATAGAATTTGACCTCTGGCTCAGTGGCTCTGTAATGTCACACATTACTTGTTGGAAGTTATCGGTTTTCGTATGTTGCTTATCCACTGGTTCAGTTTCCGTGCTTGTAAATTTTAGTGATTTCTAGTCGTGATCACATTCTTGTAAGCACGATGTCGGAGATAATGTATCTTTGCTTATTGTACAGATTTGGAATGGAAGCTTATCTACGTAGGATCAGCTGAAGATGAAACCTATGATCAAGTTTTGGAAAGTGTTCTTGTTGGTCCTGTTAACGTTGGGAATTACCGATTTGTGTTACAGGTGAACCATCTCTCCATTTTTGTTGGTTTTGTTGCATAATCTTATTCTGATTTCTATTCAATTATGGTAGGCTGACTCTCCAGATCCGTTAAAGATTCGTGAGGAAGATATTATTGGTGTAACTGTGCTATTGTTGACTTGCTCATACATGGATCAAGAGTTTATTAGAGTTGGCTATTATGTCAACAATGACTATGATGATGAACAACTCAGGGAAGAGCCTCCTACCAAGGTTTTGATTAATAAAGTCCAAAGGAACATACTCACGGACAAACCTCGAGTCACTAAGTTCCCTGTCAACTTTCATCCTGCGGATGAGCAGGCTGGTGGTGATGGGCCTCCACCTGCTGAACCATTTGATGATTCTGTTGTGAATGGAGAAGCTCGAGTGTTGGTTGAGCAGTCACAAAAGCTACAGGAGACATGATTCTAGTTTGACTCAAACCTAACTGGAAACTGGATTAGAACTATCATCTCAATACTAATCGAAAGTTCTTGCATTTGTATTTTGTTTCTTTTATCTAGAACATTATCTGCAATTGTGTTATTGTTTGTAGAAATTTAAGTTCTTTTTGCAACATGTGCTATGTTCAGAGTTCATAGTTCCCATTCTTCTTGTTTTACTAGTCCAAACTTTGGACTCCAAAGTTAATTTGCTTCTTCTTCAACAGATCATTCTCCTATAGTCCATGAAATGTAGATTCTCCTTATTTATTACAGTACTCTTACAGGAGCTGAAGCAATCACGTGATGGAACTCATCGATGCATCCTCTTTACAAGGTAAGTTTACGTCTTCATATCTCTTATCTCCTCAAGTCTGATATGTTGATGAAGTTGAAGTGTCTAGCTTTTTGTCGCAAAAAATGGGTAGTGCATAGGTCCGAATTCTTGGCTATGTTTTTGGCTGCATTAGATTTTTATAGCTTCCGATTCGTACTGGTGAGATTCCTTTCACAGCATGTGATTTCTATGCCAAATAGTATACATATTGGAGATCACGCTTTTCTAAAACTAGCTGGTTTTGGTTCAGTGTGGTTGTTTGGGAGTACTGTTTGGAGATTTACTCATCATGTATCTCTTTGGCTATTAATTTATATAAAGTGTGGGATTTTGGTTGCTTTAGAAAAATGTTTTTGGCCATTGATGTCTTAGCATTGGTTTTTTTTTGATATTTTGATGATTTATTATAGTTTCATAGATGCAAATAGTTCAGAAACACACTTATGTTGATTACTTGTTGCATTACTTTTTGATACTAGAAGGTTTCCTTCCGAATGTCCCTTGTTTGTTTTGAAAAGTGGTCTGTTAGCATATGGTATCTTTGTATTCATACAAACGGTGTCTTTTCGAGTAAAGAAAGCTTATACTACAGTATTGGATATTCGCATATACAAGGCTGATCATCGACAAGCACAAATTTTAATATTTACAATTTCTGATTGGAACTTGTTTCACATTGATCACATATGCTTTTTGGTCTAGTAGAGTGGCGGATCAGATGAAAAGTTAATTAACATAAAGGTTAGATTGCATTTACATGAAAAGTTGCAAGCAGTTCATTGCAAGCTATTTATTAAAAGATGCACATATTCTCAAAATAAGTTATGGCTTAATGACCCATAAAACTTTCGTTTAGGCCAGATATAAGGAGTTGTAAAAATTTAAAGGTAAAAACTACACATTTCAACAATTTTCTCACAATCATCACATTTAAAACAAGGTTTATGGGTGAATTGTTCTTCAGATTTCTTCTCCGTCTTTCAGCTTAGTTTCTCTTCGAAAACAGCTTCCACCAAGACAATTCTCACTGCACAATCAAAGCCATAAGTACAATCCATGGCAGAGACATCAAATATTAAGCTACATAACAAACAAATGTCGTTTTAGTTTGATGGTTTTAAAATCCGAACGATTATTAGCTCGGAAACGTTTTCATCGAGAAGTCTCAAGCTAAACAAAAGTATTTTAAAAACCTTCAAGCTAAGGAACCAAAAGTATAGTTGAAAAATGCTTAATGGTCGATCTATATATATATGCATGTGTACAATATAACACAATGCTATAATATTACTGTTGTTGTGCATATAGAGGTTCAAAGAAAATTACATGGTACTTAGGGTCGAGCTCAAACTCTCCAGTGTCGATAAAATGCTCAGTGGTTTGAAAGTAAAGGCATTGCTTCAAAAGCAACAAACGAACACGATATCTAATTAAGCATCGCATCAAACTGTTTTTTCTCAAGTAAATCCAATCAAAATGTAAACTCATACCTGCTGAATCTTATCTATATCAATCGGATCTTTCATTTCTGGCACATTCACGTTAGCAGATGGAAACAGTTGTTGTTGCACTACATCTTGTGGCACACCCTAAACAAACAGAACAATTTAAGCAAGTACAATATCATCTTAACATGAATAACATATCCTAAACATAACATGAACAATTTTTTTTTTTGATTTTATCTAGAAATCTAACCTGATGGGTGACAGAGCGTTGTCCAAAAGAAACAAGATCATTCAGTTCATCATAAATAACCGATTGTTTTAAGGCCTTGTATATATCACAACTCTGGATGGTGTTGCGAGAGCATGATTGAGTATGCCTCCAAGCACGGAGGGTTACCTCCTCAATGAATATATCACAAGCTTTAGCCAAGAGAACATGACTATCCGAGCTAACCATCTGAAAGATTGACATTTATCTCACTCAATAAAATCAACAACAATAACATATTATTATTTGTCACCCCTATTAAATGATCAGCTGAACGGTAAAATCATTAACAATAAAAATTTAGATCTAAGAAAACAACAATTTTACCATAATAGAAATTCCAAAAATCCAGGCACAATCAACAAAAATCAAATGATTATCGAAGGAGACAATTTTGATATTTTTTAAACCTTGACTTGAGGATCGGACTTCATAACTTTTTTTATCCTAGCCAGAGGTAAATCAAGCTTTTCATGTAATCCTATCATTCACCAAAACAAGTTAGAGAATTAGGTAAGGGTATAAGCGGGAAAAAAATATTTGAAATCTAATTATTTTATCTACTTTTTTTCTTGTTTTGATGTTGTTAACAATATTGAAATGAAATACCTATGGAATTGTGGTGAACCCAAAACTTCACCAGATCTTGGTTTAGTAGATGTCTCTGCTCATCAAAAAGATGTAACAATGCCAGTCCAGATCATCAGACGAAAACGTTAAAAACGAGAAACAAAACGACTTCAAGCAAAGAAGGAGAAAGATGACTAGATGAATGTACCTCTTGGTCCGTAGTACATACAAGCCAGCTTTGATCATGTATTTGCCTAACACTATTCACATAATGCTCGCTAGGTTCCATCATCACAAAAGATTCTTCCACAGTTGGATTTGGATTTACACTTGATGTTGCAACGATCGGTCTCACCATACTTCAAAACAAATAATCAAAATCAAAAATGATGAAGATGTTGAAGAAGATGTTTGTGAAAAGCATGTATATATATGATCTAGAGCCATAACAAACAATAATTATCATTTAAGATACTACCAATATAACTAGATTTACTACCTAATCGAAAATCTTAAAGAAGGAAAACAATTAATTGTGACATTAATTCTACAACTTTGGTAAATGTAATGGTGAGGCTTGAATAAAGAATAACTACTTATGGACGTAGTCACTAAAAGCCACGCGCCACGTACAAAAAACATGATAACCAATAGTCGTGGCGCGTGGCTTTCACCGAAAACACGTGCGACTGGTTATCTCTTATTCAAGCCTCAAGAGCCCAAATAGGTATACATTTTCCAATTTGTAAACTTAATTTCACAGTTAATTGTTTTTCCTCTTTAGGATTCTCAATAAGGTAAAGAATCCAGTTATATAGGTAGTCTCTTAAATGATAATTATTGTTTGTTACGGATCAAGCTCGATATATATACTTGCTTTTCAAAAAAGCTCTCTTCATTATCTTTATCGTTTCCGATTTTGATTATCTGTTTTGAACTATAACATGATGAGACCGACCGTTGCATCATCAAGCGTAAATCCAAATCCATCTATTGAAGAATATTGTATAATGATGAAACCTAGCGAGCCTTATGTGCATAGTGTTAGGCAAATACATGATATCAAGAAGGCTAGTCTGTCCTACGAACCGGGAAGTAAACCCGACAGTCATTTTTCTCCGTCTTTTCTTGAAGTCTCTTTGTTTCTCGTGTCTTTCACCATTTGGTATGATGATCTAGACTGACATTTCTTCATCTTTTTGATGAGCAGAGACATCTACTAAACTAAGATCTAGAGATGTTTCGGGCTCACCACAATTCCATTTTAGAGGGAAAACAAAAGTAGATAAACTAACTAGATTTCAAAAAACAATTACCCGCTTACCCTTACCTAACTCTCTAACTTATTTTGGTGAATGATAGGGTTACATGACAAGATTGATTTACCTCTGGCTAGGAAAAAAAAGCGTTATGAAATTCACTCCTCATTTCAAGGTTTAAACAATAAAAGAAATTGTCTTTTTGGATAATCTTTTGATTTTTATTGATTGTGGCTGGATTTTTTTTGAAATTTTCATTCTGATAAAATCGTTGTTTTCTTAGATTTAGAATCTGTTACATGTTAACGATTTCACCGTTGAACTAATCATGTAATAGGGGTGACAAATAACAATATGTTATTTTTGTTGATTTTATTAAGAACTTGTTGTTGTGTGAAATAAATGGCATTTTTTCAGATGGTCAGCTTGGATAGTCCATGTCATTTGGCCAAAGCTTGTGAGATATTCATTGAGGAGGTAACTCTCTGTGCGTCCAGCCAAACTCAATCATGCTCTCACAATACCATCCAGAATTGTGATATATACAAGGCCTTTAAAAAATCTTTTATTTATGATGAACTGGGTGATCATGATTCTTTTGAATGACACTTCATCACCCATCATGTAGATTTCTCGATGATCAAAATATATGTTCATGTTATGTTTAAGCTACATTATTCATGTTAAGATGATAATATATTTGCTTAAATTGTTTTGTTTTGTTTAGGGTGTACCACATGATGTAGTGCATCAGCAAATGTTTACATCTGCTAATGTGAACGTGCCGGAAATGAAAACTCTGATTGATGTAGATCAGATTTAGCTTAATTAAATATCTTGTTTGTTTGATGCATTTTCAGTAATGCCTTTATTATCTAACCACTGAGCATTTTGTCGACATTGGAGAGTTTTAGCTCGACCCTAACTACCAGGTAGATTTCTTTAAACCGCTATATGCACAACAACAATAGCATTATAGCATTGTGTTAAGGTGTACACATGCATGAATACATTTAGACATTAGTCATTTTTCAACTATATTTTGGTTCCTTGAAGGTTTCTAAATACTTTTGTTAGGCTTGAGACTTCTTTACGAAAGCTTTTATGAACTACTAATCGTTTGAATTTCAAAAACATCAAGCTAAAAAAACATTTGTTTGTTTTGTAGCTTAAAATTTGATGTTTCTGCCATGGATTGTAATTATGGCTTTGTTGTGCAGTGAAAATTGTCTTGGTGGAAGCTGTTTTGGAAGAGAAACTAAGTTGAAAGACAGGAGAAGAAATGTGTAGATTTTACCTCTAAATTTTTTTTAAAATCCTTTATATAGTTATATGTATAATTTAACTCTTGTGGCCTCAACTAATTTTTTTTGGTCATTAAGCCATAACTAGTTTTATGAATAAGTGTATGTTTTTAATATACATTTAACTATATATCTCCAAGTAAACTGTTAAAGTTCACCACAAACTAAGTAGTTTTCAATGAACTGTTTGCAACTTTCATGAATGTGGCAATCTAATCTTCATGAACTCATATCAATCTATGGAAGAATCTTACATGAGGATGAAACCTCACAAGCCTAATGCACATGCCATGAGATCCTCATGTGTTATTGTATATCAAGACAAGTTGAGAATTTAGTCAACGATTTTACTAAAAAAATCAATGTTCAGTAGTTCCTTAAATAATATATCAAAATATAGATCACCTAGACTAGTTATGTTAAACATATAAAGCCAAGGATTATTATATATGTTCACATGAATCACAAAACAATTTATTATGTTGGAAACTTGTATTGACATACCTGATGCGTTAATCCTAATGGTGACTTGCCTTTGATCATATTCCCTCGTCCCAATGGAGAACAACTATAAACGTGTACGAGGGAAAAGAGTTACACATGACAACAAAAGTAACATTAATCCCGAACAATTGATACCTTGTAAAAGAAAGTTCTATTCTTCTATTGCTAACAATACTCAAAGGATATTGCTTTCATACCTGATAAAGCCTCTCCTTCATCATCTAGATTTTCACCACCAGAACATCCATCCATGTCAAGTTGCTCATCAGTTTAAATCTGCTCCTTAGGAATCCGAGTTCTTATTTTTTGTATCTCCAAATTTCGCCAAAATTTTAAACCACCTCCTATAAAAACAAAGCATGCAAATTTTAGGAACTGTTAATAGGGCAAGAGATTGAAAGTTAGCTTGCTGAAACACATTACCGTCTTACCGAGGTAGCCAAAAAAAAAAAACAATTGAATATATATGGGAAGTCTACCATTTCCCAGTAACAAAAACAAGTATATGATCTCCTCCAATTCACTCTCACACATTGACCATGCTATATTAATGCAGTAGCTAACCCTAAACCCCATGCGATAGTTTACGTGACACCTATGTGGAGTGATATTTTAAGACTCAATACTCCCTAATGTTATATAAATGGTTTTCAAAGTTCCATACTTTTAGAAAAATAAAACAAATATCACATAAAGGACACACCCTATTAAACTGCCCACATAAAATACTGAGGGAATTGCATTGGCAAACCAAATCAAATGGAACATGGACTTTTATCTTTTAAAAAAAACAAAAAGTAAACATGAATTGATATAAAATCAAGCACCTAGTTTGAAATAAATTGAGAAAGAGCAATGAATAACTTAGTGTTAATGGATTTTTGACAAGAGATAACTTTTAAACATGTAGAGAAACTAGAATCACAGTAAATGGTTTCCAAATTTCAAAACTTTCAGACAAATAAAACCAATAGTGCATAAAGGACAGATCCATGAACTAATATCCTCTTCTATTTGTCTTACTGCTCACATAAAACAGATCTCATCTCAAACAAAAAATTAAAGAGAAGAACAACAAATTTATACAAACTCAAGCACCTAGTTTTGAAACAAGTGGATAAAGAGCATGACAGATCTTATCAAGTAATCAATTGCAAGCAACAATACCAAATAGTTAAAATCCCAAAATAGAAGAGAATCAAGTAATTTATTCCTAAATTCTTATCAATTATTGAATCCGAATCACTTACCCTTTTCCGAATTTCTCCTGGATGATTCACCCACACTAGTTTGGTGAAAAGTGTCCTCATGGGCCATGGCACTTGCCACTACTTGATCTCAAAGTAATTGATATACATCATGTTCATAGAGAGAAAGAGAAGAAATATCGGAACCAGGAAGAGGGGTCAAAGTCACAAACTCTTGTTGAGAGGGAGAAAGAGATAGATTTGTTTTGACTCTTAAATATTTGTGTGAACATTAGTAGTCTCTCTTTATTAGTCAAAAGAGGGTAAGAAATCCTTTAATTAGGCTTCTAATAAATAGAAATGAATCTTTTACTTTTAAAATTTATATTAGGTAAATTTCCACAAATTATTTTTACACTAGAGTGTCAACCCGTACGTAAAAGAAAAATACATGGGTAAATACGGGTGACTAAGGAATTTAAGTACGGGTGACTAAGTTTTTGATTGATTAAAATACTTTTGAAAATAGTTTAAACAAAACAAACAATGTAACTAAAATAAAAAATGTATTAAGTAATTTTACTTATTATAATATTTGATGTGGTTAATAAAAGAAAAGTTGTTAAAAACTAACAAAACTAAATTGATTTGGTTATAATTTCTTTTTCTTAAAACATGAGTATAAAATATTTTTCTCTATTTTACATTTGGATTACAATCCCGATCTGAGAAGAATAAATTAAATTCAATCTGAACAAAAAAAATTGTTGGGTTTGAAATTTAATTCAATCATTGAAACTGACTGATGTTTTTGGGTTTTGAAATCCTTTAATTTCAATTGAATTAAATGAAAATTAAGAAAAATGGATTTTATGAGAGTTTCAATATACATATATTATTTCATAAAATGATTTGAGGGAAAATAAAGAAATGTTCAAAAAATAACATACTTGGTTTAGAACTGCCATAAGCCCATAATTGCATTAGTTCCTACTATACGTCTTCATGTGTCATGTTTATTGTCGCCTTTGTTTTTTTTTTTTCCTCCGCTGCTATTCCTAATGAGAGAGAAAAGAGAATTAAAAGTTGTTATATGTAGTCATCCGTATGCTTATGGATACAAATGAAGTGCTTAACACAAGCAAAAACTTATGAAAGAAAGTTTTCTTCAAGAAATTTGACATCCCCCAAAAAAACGTTTCACACCAAATTCATAAATATACATCACGTATGTGTAGTAGAAATCTAGTTTGAAATTGAAATCATTACTTATAGAAATTTTGTTTTGTAGGTTTTTCATGCATTTTACATAACAACTCTACATGCTTTTGTTGTTAACCAATCTCGTAATATTTCAGGTTAGTGATACATTCATGTTATAGTAAGTCGTGTTGATCCTGCAGCGTGTATCAAATCACTTTGATTCTTTCATTTACTGTAGGTTGTACATACTTTTATATGTGGGAACTATCCAAGGAAGCAAACGTCATTTTCTGTCCATACGCGTGCATTGTTAGTCCAACCACGCGTGAAAGTATCAATACTGATTTGAGAGATGTGATTGTTATCTTTGACGAGACACAATAAGTTTCTAATATAAGCATTTAAATTTTGAGACTCTAAAGTTATTTTTATGTTGAAAACATATTTCCTATTTTGCAGCAACTTGAAAGGGTTTGCTCGTGAAGCTGGACTATGCTTATATACAGTGTCATGCTTCATGTATAACAGAAAAGGCATTTGCCTTAAGCCACAAAAAAAAAAAGTAAATAAAAGGCCACATTTTTTTCTAAATTAGGCAAAACACTTATTTTTATATAGTGTTTTAGGGCTCTTCTTTTGGAAAAAACTCATATCATTAACATTTCTGAAAATTTTGTTTATTTTTCCTCTTCATTTAACTATTAAATCTTGTTTATTTATGATACTTTTTAAAATTGAGCAAAATTTTCTTTTCTTTTTACATTTTTTAAAAAAAATTCTCAAAAATAGAATATATTAGGCCACATTTTTAGCATTTGCCTTAAACCTCTATTGACCTTGGCACGACACTGCTTATATATACAAAAAATACACGATCTCAAGAGAAACATCTTCTGCATCTACTATGTGTAAATTTAGAAAAGAGTCATCATGTGATACCTGAAACGATGAGAAACGAAAATGACGAAGTGAGATCGAGACTCGAGAAAGAGATACTTAGACTAATAAGTTTAGAGTGTGAAGAAAATAAGTGTTCATAATATCTACCATAAATCGAGAGATGCAAGCGAAATAGTGGTTTCAATTGAAAGAAAATATTACTTTTGCATGAACCCCTTTTATAAATTTAGCCATGTCTGGATTCTCTTGCGAAACCGCAAAAGTAGAGTTGGATAGTGGAGACGTGGGTAAACGGTTACCGAAGATAAAACCTATACATTTTCTTTTTTTTTTTTTTGCTAAATAATATCTGATAAAATTCGATTTTAAAAATTTATACAAAATTGATTTTTTTTTTTAACTTTTTAAAAAGAAGTTGCCAACTCTTTGCATCGTGTATTTTTTGTTCTTTTTTTTTTAGTTAAATTTTCTTAGAACAAAATCCATGTGGCACATTTCTATTGGTAAGGTGACTTGTGATTTATAATATAAAGGATTTTGAAGTGATATTGTATGCAAACACATAAGTCAAAAAATAAACTAAGAAACACCTTATTTAGATTTTAAAAGAAAAATGCATTTTTATTTATTTTTAAGCTTATACTAGGTAAAATCCCGCGAATTATGCGTGTATTCTACGACAAGTTATCTTTACACTTTGAAGTGATGTTGTATGCAATCACATTGAACATTAGTCTCTCTCTCATTAGTCAAAATAAGATAAGCAATTCACTAATTAGGCTTATAAAAGGAAAGTGATCAGTCTTTTGCATTTAAAGTTAATACTATGTTATATTTTCCACTCGCCATGCATGTATTTTACGGCAAATTATCTTTACACTTTGAATAAACCTTTGGTGTTTTCTTTGAAAGCTTGTCGTCTTTTGTGTTCTTGTCAATTAAGTCTATTGGTGTGATTCCTTAGTTTTGTTTGATTACGTTCCTAGTGTGTTTGTGAGACTCAAACATTTTGGTTCGTGTGTTGATTATGTGACCCAATCATCAAAACTTCCATCTCCATCTCTACCTTCGCTCATCAAACTATTCAAGTCGTATGCCTTGAACCGAGAAGCATAAATTTAAGGTGTGATTCCGAGGATTTATATCAGGCATTGTATGTTGTGGCACACCCTAAACAAAATAGAATAGTTCAATGAAATATGTTATGTTAAGAAAAACATAACATATTTTGTTAGAAACAAAGATGGTAGAGCAGAAGTGTGATACCACACTGTTATTATAACAAATGTGTCAAACATCGAAGTTGAACATAAAACAAAAACATTTTTACTGAATGATACTGTATTCTATGATTGTCTCTGACAATTTATACGAAAGATATTACATGAATTTATAGAAAGAAAATGTAATTGCACTCATTAGTCCCATAGACTCATTATGTCCTACAATTAAACAGAAATTGAAACCCCCAAATTAATTAGAAACCAAAAGTGCAAATCTGTATTTAATATGTATTACATGAATTTTAATTACTCTCCCTCTATTGTTTTGGTTCAAACACACTTAACTCCCCTATTTGAATCACTTTTCAACAAATTTTGGTTGAACTTTTTTTCTTTCACTAGGTAAGTTGAAAAGTGGAAGAAATCTAACCTGATGGCTAATAGGGCATGGTTCAAAAGAAATAAGGTCAATCAGATCTTTCAGAACTTCCGAACCCATGGAGGCCTCATGTATATCACCGGTCTAGATGGTCTGGCGAGAGTATGATTGAGTCTGCCTCCAAGCATTGAGGGTTAATACCAATAAATAACTTTCCACATTATAAACTTTATATTTTGATAGATCAAGTTTTCAATACAAGCAAGCATTAAGCATTCAGAATTCTAGAAATTCTCACAACATTGCCAAAGAATTAACTCTACTACTAGCAAAATAGACATGGAGATTTTTTCAAGAACCATAATGTCTCTTTAGAGTGGAGAGTTTCATCATACAAGTCCATCCTATGCATGGTGAAGCATCATGTTTGGGATAGAGACCGTAACACTCTGCGAGAACATCATTAGTGTGCTCCTCCTCTAGACACGCAATTTAGGTCTATCTTGTTTCCAAAGAGATACAAGTGCCTTCCACTATATTAGACAGAACAACACTACATATCGGATTGGACATGAGGAGAATCAGACAATAGCCGAGATCGGACATGAAGAAGAAGCTGCAAAGTCTCTCTTGGAGTCTTCAGCTAACAGAGACAGAAACGGTGTCGTTGGCCCAACATGAGCAGACGACATTATGCAAATGGGCCAGACACAAGTGAAGCCGAATAAGGAATCAGCCCAAGACAACTCACACCTCCAACGGTCATCTCCACCTGCAAAAGAAGACAAAGCCAAAAGATCAGATCAAGCAAATAAAACAGAGAGCTGTGGTGGTAAACATCCAGTGGTTTTAAGAAACCGGTTTGACTGTCTTGGATCAATTGAGACCTGACACATGTCAGTGTAAACCCTAGTGTCTCTGACATAGTGTCCTTCTATATAAGGAAAACATGATGTAACCTTAAAACCTTAAGGAGAAATAAAAGGAAATGAAACTTATCTTCTTCACATTTAGCCTTTGAGCACTCCTACTTTCATGGTATCAGAGCCATGGATTCCTCAATTTCCAGCTCTATTCACATCATGTCATTCACATTTCCAATTGTGTTACTGTTCCACTTACTGAGAGAAATTACCTTCTTTGGAAGACACAATTTGAGTCCTTTAATTTCTTTCTGGACAAAACCTTCTAGGGTTTGTCAATGGAGCCATTCAACCTCCTGTAGCTATCAACACTCTCACACATATCGATGGTCTTACTAAAGTAGCTCAGAATCTTGCTTATCAACAGTGGATGCGGTCAGATCAGGTGGTGAGAGCTTGGTTGCTCGGGTCATTATCTGAAGATATCCTTCGAGAAATTGTTCATACCACTACTGCTCAAGAAGTTTGGACTGCCTTGGCTCAGTATTTCAACAAGGTATCCTCTTCACGTCTCTTTGAACTGCAAAGAAAAATGCAAACCATAGAGAAATCAGATAGATCTATGGAAAATTATGTTAGAGAGGAGAATCTGTGAACAACTCACTTCTATTGGTAGTCCAGTTAGTGAGAAAATGAAGATTTTTGCTGCTCTACATGGTCTAGGTAGGGATTATGAACCAATAAAAACCTCTATAGAAGGATCTATGGATTTACAGCCTCCACCTACCTTTGAGTCTATCATACCTAGATTGACTGGATTTGCTGATAGGCTTGCTAGTTACAATGTGGGTAGTGAAGTTTCTCCACCCTTGGCTTTCAATATCACCACCTCAAATGGGTCACACTACTATAGCAGTAGAGGTTGTGGCAATGGTAGGTCTGGTAACAACAGAGGTCGAGGCAGTGGTTCTTACTCTACAAAAGGACGCAGATTTCACCAACAAATCTCTCAAGGCTCTATGCTTCAGGCTCTTACATTGGTGACAAGATTACATGCCAGATATGTGGTAAACCAGGCCATCCTACTCTAAAATGCTGGCATCGGTTCAACAACAGCTATCAATATGAAGAACTTCCAAGCGCTCTAGCTGCTCTGAGGATTACAGAGGTTACTGAATCTCCTAGTCATGACTGGTTCACAGACTCTGCAGCAACAGCTCATGTGACAAACTCAGCCAACAGACTTCAGCAGTCACAGCCATACTCAGGATCTGATGCAGTAATGGTAGGCAATGGGGAGTTTCTTCCAATCACACATACTGGTTCCACCAGTCTACCATAAACCTCAGGTACTCTTCCTTTAACTAATGTTCTTGTTTGCCCTGACATTGCAAAATCCTTGATTTCTGTTTCTAAGCTCACATCAAACTATCCCTGCTGTGTTGAATTTGACTGTGATACTGTTCGCATTACTGATAAGGCAACAAAGAGGTTGTTAACAATGGGACATCACAATACGGGATTGTACATGTTGAAGAATCACTCACCTTTACAAGTCTACTACTTCTCAAGACAACAAGCTGCAAGTGATGCTGTCTGGCATAGAAGACTTGGACATCCACATGCTCAGATTCTTCAACAACTGTCTACATCCAAAGCTATCTCCATCAATAAGAGTACCAAGATGATATGTGAAGCTTGTCAACTTGGGAAGAGTATTAGATTACCTTTTTCTGCTTCTTCCTTTGTAGCTGCTAGACCTTTAGAAAGAATCCATTGTGATCTTTGGGGTCCTTCACCAATAATGTCAGTTCAAGGATTTCGTTATTATGTCGTTCTCATTGACAATTACTCTCGCTTCAGTTGGTTATATCCTCTCAAGATGAAATCAGATTTTGCTTCAATATTTCCTGTGTTTCAAGCAATGGTTGAGAATCAATTTCAACAGAAAATAGGAACTTTTCAATGTGATGGTGGAGGAGAGTTTATTAGTAAAGACTTCTTAACTCACCTACAGAAACATGGCATACAACAACTTATGTCATGCCCCTACACACCTCAACAGAATGGTCTAGCTGAAAGAAAACACAGACACATTGTTGAACTAGGTCTGTCAATGATGTTCCAAAGCCGAATGCCACAGAAGTATTGGGTTGAGGCATTCTATACTACAAACTTCCTAATCAATCTTCTACCAAGTTCTGTCTTTGATAGGAAATGCAGTCCATATGAAGTTCTAATGGGTAAGCCTCATGATTATACTTCTCTAAGGGTTTTTGGGTGTGCTTGCTATCCTACATTAAGGGACTATGCAAATACCAAGTTTTATCCAAGATCACTCAAGTGTGTTTTCCTAGGCTACAATGATAAGTATAAGGGATACATGTGCTTACTTCCAATAACAGGGAGAGTGTATATCAGCCGTCATGTTATCTTTGATGAGTCGACATTTCCCTTTGCAACTGTTGCCTATCTTTATCTATAACCTAATAGAGTTACACCATTAATGTCAGCCTGGTTAAGAAGCTACTCAAAGTCAGAAGAAACGAGAATGGAAGATAAAGAAAGTCAGATATCTACCACTGCTGCACAACTTAAAGCAGTAGTTCTTCAGTTGTCTCCTGGTATGAGTTCAATGAGAACAGAAGAGAGTACTAGGTGTACGACAGGCTTTGACCCTATTCCTATAGGCAACAACTCTACTTCTGCTTCTCAAAGAACAAATACTTCTAGAGCCCCATCAGAGTCAGTTTTTCAGCCTCCTACAGTGCAACTACAATCCACTACAGATCAGAGTCAGCCTTCTCAGTCTTCACAACCAACACATCCTATGACAACAAGATCAAAGAATGGGATAAGAAAACCTAACCCAAGATATGTTTTGCATACTAAAAGAGTATCTTACCCTGAACCCAAAACAGTCACTACAGCATTAAAAGATCCAGGATGGACTGGTGCAATGGGAGAATAGATGGAGAATTGCACTAAAGCTCACACCTGGACATTGGTACCTTATACACCGGGTATGCATGTGTTACGCAGTAAATGGGTATTCAGAACTAAGCTTAACGCTGATAGAACCCTTGACAAGTTAAAAGCTAGACTTGTTGCCAAGGGATATAATCAAGAAGAAGGAATCGATTACCTGGAAACATACAATCCAGTGGTGAGAACTCCAACTGTGAGATCAGTTCTTCATCTTGCCACTATCATGGACTGGGACATCAAACAAATGGACGTCAAGAACACCTTTCTCCATGGAGATCTTACTGAAACGGTGTATATGATGCAGCCTGCAGGATTCATAGATCCATCAAAACCGGATCATGTCTGTCATTTACACAAGTCTATATATGGTTAAAAGAATCCCCAAGGGCTTGGTTTGATAAGTTCAGTACTTACCTTATTCAGTTTGGTTTTGGTGCAGCAAACCTGATCCTTCTTTGTTTGTGTACATCAAGAACAAGAATATCATTCTGCTACTTCTCTATGTGGATGACATGCTCATCATTGGAAACAATTCTGAAGTGTTAGCTTCATTATTGGAGAATTTAAATAATGAATTCAGAATGAAAGATATGGGAAGATTGCATTACTTTTTGGGTATACAAGTACAGTTTCACTTTGATGGACTATTCCTCTCACAACAAAAATACGCAGAAGATCTCCTTGCTGTAGCTGCAATGAGTGATTGTGCTCCAATGCCGACTCCTATGCCTTTACAGTTGCATATGGTCCCTGCACAACAAGAGCTGTTTGATAATCCAACCTATTTCAGAAGTTTAGCAGGTAAACTTCAATACCTTACCTTGACAAGACCAGATATTTAGTTTTCTGTCCACTATGTGTGTCAGAAAATGCATGCGCCAACAGTCTCTGACTTTAACCTGCTCAAGAGAATTCTGTGTTACATCAAGGGAACATTAACCATGGGGATTTCATTTAACAAGTATACAGATTGCAGAATGAGAGCTTACTACGACAGTGATTACGGAGGTTGTCAAGGAACACGCAGATCTACTGGAGGCTATTGTACCTTCCTGGGCAGTAATATCATCTCTTGGTCCTCTCAAAAACAACAGTCGATGTTGAAGAGATCTACAGAGGCTGAGTATCAAACCTTATCTGACACCGCCTCGGATATAACCTTGTTGGGCTCTGTTCTCAAGGAATTAGGAATACCACTTCTTGAAACTCCAGAGATCTACTGTGACAATTTGTCCGCCGTCTATCTTGCTGCAAATCCCGCCTTTCACAAGCGAAGTAAGCACTTTCAGCTTCATTATCACTATGTCCGCGAAAGAGTAGCTCTCGGGGCCTTGATTGTGAAGCACATACCAAGTCACCAACAGGTTGCTGACATCTTCACGAAGTCCTTACCAGCAGGACCCTTCTGTTCTCTCCGATACAAACTCGGTGTTGATGTTCCACCCACACAGAGTTTGAGGGGGGGATATTAGACAGAACAACACTACAGATCGGATTGGACATGAGGAGAATCAGACAATAGCCGAGATCGGACATGAAGAAGAAGCTGCAAAGTCTCTCTTGGAGTCTTTAGCTAACAAAGACATAAACGGTGTCGTTGGTTCAACAGGAGCAGAAGACATTATGCAAATGGGTCAGACACAAGTGAAGCCCAATAAGGAATCAGCCCAAGACAGCTCACAGCTCCAACGGTCATCTCCACCTGCAAAAGAAGACAAAGCCAAAAGATCAGATCAAGCAAATAAAACAGGGAGCTGTGGTGGTAAACATCCAGTGGTTTTAAGAAACCGGTTTGACTGTCTTGGATCAATTGAGACCTGACACATGTCAGTGTAAACTCTAGTGTCTCTGACATAGTGTCCTTCTATATAAGGAAAACATGATGTAAAACCTTAAGGAGAAATAAAAGGAAATGAAACTTATCTTCTTCACATTTAGCCTTTGAGCACTCCTACTTTCACACTACAATCCTAGGGAGAAGAGTGGCTCGACAGTCACCCGCCTAGTCGTCTTTCTTTTCCTCTGTGATCACCACCGCTTCTTGGAGAGTTCCAATACCACTCCGTAAATTGGTCTATCTCTCTTCTAGCTCTCACCAAATAGCAGATTGGGCTTTAGATAGTCTTGTATTAATGGCTCTTCGTCTAGTTACATTGACCACATTTTGAAATGAGCGTTGAATATTTGACCTTCCAGAGACTATCCTAATTCCTAATCGTACTAATAAGATAATTAAGTAAAGTGACTCCGTGAGACGGTCGAATGAGCGAATCATTCACCTAAGGGTCTAAAAATGTCTAGCTTGGTTCACTCTTCAATAGTCAAATCACTTGCCGGCTATTATTGAGTAATCAACGTTTCTCATGACAAACAAATTTAACCGTCCACAAATTGGGTTTAGGAGAAGTTCATTTGATCAATTTCATCACGCATATAACATTCGATTTATGTTAAAGTTACAAATATAAATATAAAATGACAGAAGATACATAGAAAATGACATGACAATACAAATTATTTATTAAATAAAAAAAAAGTACTATTGTAGTGCCGACAGTTTTCTTTTTCCCTTTGAATGGTTGTAGGCTAAAATCTATTTATGACCAAATATTAGATAATCTTTTTTCTTTTCTAAACGTCTATGACAAGAATCGTCTATGTAACAGTTCTCATAATTTGCAATAAATAATAAATTTAGACGTCAAAAAAAAAACGTCTATGACAAAATGTTAGATCACAGCCAAATTTAAGACATATATTTAGCCAAAGCTAAAACCTAACTGGTTACACCATTTATGGATAGAAGAAGACTACACCTAAGTTGGTGGATTCTTGGATTTGTACAAGCAGGGAATATAATCTAACTTGAACTACACTTAGATTCTACTAGGTCTTGCCATCTTTCATATATTTATGCCCGCATTCGGTGCTCATTAGTATTAGTAAATCATAGTACATTTTAATTTCGTTTAACTTTATTAAGATTCAATATTGTGTTTATATATAACCTCAAAATCTATCGATGATTTATTTTCTTCTTTTTTTCATTTACTAAATTTGTTTAAATTGCTAGATATGCTACCTTTATAAATTAAAAACATACATTAGTACATTACAAATTAAAAGTAAAAAAAAAAAACACTATTCACTAAAATATAAATCTCCTCATTACACATTTTAAACTTTCACTGAAATCATTTAAAAAGATTTCACTAAATATTCGTAAAAAGTTGATTGTCCAGTGAAATATTTAGTGTTTGTTTGATTTGATTGGACAATAAACTTTTTACTGTTATAAACCATATGGATGGACTCCATAACCGGCCCACGGCCCATTAGGGTTTTACCTTATTTTTTGTATCCTGCTATTATCCTTGTATATATATCCCCTTTTCTATTAATGAAAGACACAGTTCACAACACGTTATCAGCACATAAGCTCGAAAAAAAAACAAAAAAAAAAAAAAAAAAAAAAAAAAAAAAAAAAAACCCTAACCCTAAACTTCACGAGCCCTAGCCACCCAGCTAATAAAACCCGTCGCCGCCTTCGTCCGTTTTCCGATCTCATAATCTCTCTTTCACGTCGAGGTAAGTAACCTCGTACTTACAATCAGTCGGTTGTTAATGCTTTAATATCGATTGTTTATTTAATTATATCCCCTTTTCTATTAATGAAAGACACAGTTCACAACATTTACGAGTATTTGTATTTTAGTGAATATTTAGAAATAAGTAGTGAAAGATATTTAGATAGTTTCAATGAACGTTTAACATGTGTCGTAGTAAGATGCTGATATTTCCATATTATAAGTACTTCAACTATATGAGAGCTTGAATCAATCTATTCCAACCAAAGAATAATGGCGAATTCCCAAAGATCTCTGATCGATCCAAGAAACGGTTTCTGCAATGCAAACTCCACATTTTACAGTAAACGCAAACCATTAGCCCTTCCATCAAACGACTCGCTCGACGTCACAACATTCATCTCCTCCCAAACGCACCGTGGCACAACCGCCTTCATAGACGCTGCCACGGACCACCGCATAAGCTTCTCTAATTTATGTAGAGCCGTCGATCGTTTGGCTAACTGTCTCCACCACGACGTCGGAATACAGAGAGGTGACGTTGTTCTTGTCCTCTCTCCCAACTCCATCTCCATCCCCATTGTCTGCCTCTCCGTTATGTCTCTTGGCGCCGTTGTCACCACTGTAAATCCTCTCAACACAGCCGGTGAAATCTCTAGACAAATCGCCGATAGTAATCCGAAGCTCGCTTTCACAACCACAGAGCTGGCTTCCAAACTTGCCGGTTCTGATATCTCCATCCTCCTCGAGCGCGTAGTAGACACTCTATGCGCTCCAGGAGGACTCAAAGTGGTTGGGATTCTAAGTGAGATGATGAAGAAAGAACCTAGGGGACAAGAAGTCATCAGAAACCGAGTTAACAAAGACGACACAGCGATATTGCTTTACTCGTCCGGGACAACGGGACAAAGCAAAGGAGTGAATTCGTCCCACGGGAACTTAATAGCACATGTCGCAAGATACATCGCGGAGCCATTCGAGCAGCCACAACAGACCTTCATTTGCACTGTTCCATTGTTCCACACCTTTGGTTTACTAAACTTCGTTTTAGCCACCTTAGCGTTAGGTTCGACCGTTGTCATCCTCCCGAGGTTCGACCTCGGGGAGATGATGGCAGCGGCCGAGAAATACAGAGCCACTACTCTGATTCTCGTGCCGCCAGTTTTAGTAACTATGATAAACAGAGCGGATGAGATAATGGCGAAGTACGACGTGAGCTTCTTGAGAACAGTGCGGTGCGGTGGAGCACCGTTAAGCAAGGAAGTTACTGAAGGGTTTATGAAGAAATATCCAACGGTTGATGTTTATCAAGGATACGCATTGACGGAATCTAACGGTGCAGGAGCTTCGATAGATTCAGTGGAGGAGAGTCGGAGATACGGTGCGGTGGGGTTGTTGTCATGTGGTGTAGAAGCGAGGATTGTGGATCCAAATACGGGTTGGGTCATGGGTTTGAACCAAACGGGCGAGCTTTGGCTTAAAGGGCCTTCTATTGCCAAAGGTAAATTATATTAGAAACTTTCTTTAAATTTTAAGCTAGAGGTTTTATAATCACAGTTAAAGAGTTAATTAACGAGAATAATGTCGAAAAAATCATGAACTTTCAAATTTATGACGTAAAAAACATGAACTTTCGAAATATAATTTAAATCGTAAAGTTTGCTTTGACTTTTTGATAAAATAGCCAAGTTTCGTTGACTTGGCTATTTCGGACATGTCGTTGAATTTCTGTTAAAAAGACGATAATTGAATTATCTTTCCGTTAGCAGTATCCGTTGAACAGAAACAACGTCGTTTTGAAAACAATAAAACGAAGTCGTTTCATTGAATAATAAGAAAGAAAAATTGCACCAATGAGGGATCGAAGCTCGTGACTTTATGAACTCATACAACATTATGCTATGATAACAATCATAGCTATAAAAAACACGTATGATATACACCACTTATTTACAAGAAGATGGTACTAGTTGTTTTTCCGCCAACTATTACCATTAATAGAATTATCTAACAAAGTCACACTGATTTATATTTGTTTGTGTTTAAAGGTTATTTTAGAAACGAAGAAGAAATTATAACTTCAGAAGGATGGCTTAAAACAGGAGATCTTTGCTATATAGACGACGATGGATTTCTTTTTATCGTTGATCGATTGAAAGAGCTAATCAAATACAAAGGTTACCAGGTAAAAAAAAAAAAAAAAAAACTTAGTTATGTTAAATGCATTATTGACCGATTTACATTTTTTAAAACTCAATCACAAGCAAAAAAAATATAACGTTTTGGATTTGTATAATAGGTACCTCCAGCTGAACTAGAGGCTCTTTTACTAAGCCATCCAGATATTCTCGATGCAGCCGTTATTCCGTAAAGTCTTACTATCATTTGTACTTTTTTTTTTTTTTTTTGGGATTAAGACATCAAGATTTCTGCGTTTTAAACATAAAAAAACAAGAAGTTTAATTTTGCTTTTTGTTTATTTTTTTTTGGTTGCATCTTAAAGGTTTCCAGATAAAGAAGCAGGACAATATCCGATGGCTTATGTGGCACGAAAGTCTGGCAGCAATCTCTGTGAGAAAAAAGTTATTGACTTTATTTCTAAACAGGTGCTTTTATGATCAAAACCATAACCAAATTCAATTATATAAAATTTTGTGAATTAGGTGATTGATTTTAGTTTAATGTATAATAACAGGTGGCACCATATAAGAAAATAAGAAAGGTTGCATTTATAGACTCAATACCAAAGACTCCATCAGGCAAAACACTTCGCAAGGATCTACTCAAATTTGCCATTTCTAAACTTTAAAAGAATCGCTAGATGCTAGTTTGTCATTTTTATTTGTATGATTTTTATTTGTGACATAATAAAAGAGAATTTATATCCGCTTAATTAGCTCGGTTAGAAGATATATCTAAAGATTTCTATTTGAATCATTTGTATTAATCTTTGTGGTTAACTGATTGTATCCATCGTGACACTTAATTTTAAACTTTCTTTTCATATGTTACTTTATTAATTGATCATTCTTTCTTCCCTCAAAGGAACATTGTTTTGAGAATAAGATAATAAGTTGAAACTAAAATGAAGAAAGAGATGGAGTAGAAGTAGGGAATCAGTCCAAAGGCGGAACAGTGGTTTAGTGGATGTATCTAAACTAGGTAGAGAGATAAGGTTCAGCAACTTTGGCCCTAGAGGAATGTGATCGGCTTGAAGGAGCCAAACGAACAAGGCCAGCGCTTATGGCTTAGCTTCGGATGATGAATTTCGATTCTTTTGTATGAATGTAAAATATATTCAATGAAAAAACTGTTTGTACAATGTGTGCAATACTGAGAGTTGAGATTTTGAATTAAATTAAGCTAACAAATTATAAAAAAGCAAAAGATTTAGGAGCTACGAGTTTGGATTTCGTTTACTAAGAGTGCAACGGATTTTAAAGTTGAAGAATGTAAATCTCTGATGAAGCTTTCGATACTACATGTTGCCTCAATGACTGGGGCATGTTGCCTCAATGACTGGGGCAGGGATGGTCCTGATATTTCGGACACTTTTTAAAATACGAGAGCAAATTTTGATGACTTAAAAAATTGGGGGCTAATCAATGCAAAAATAAATAAATTTGGGAGCCTATTTCTAAATTACTGTTTTGTGTGGATCTAAAATATTTAAAGATCTTAGGCCAATGTTTCATTTTGCTTGGCCCATACTGGTTTTTCGGGTCAAAAAAGTAACTACCATCTCTTATTTTGTTGTCCTTCATTTCTAAAGTTTGGTCCACTTTTTCAAAGTATTCAAACCACTCTTCTTATATGTGAAGTTTATATTAGATGACTCCCTTCTCTTCTTCTGTACATCTCTTTCATCATCAAGAAAATCTTCCAAGCATGTATCTACTTGTTCTGGAGAGGGCGGAATTAGAGGCTCTTTACTTCAACTTCTTGTCTCTCCCCTATCCTTGTTGTAGAAGTATCACGCATCTGTAGGAGCAAAACCCAAAAGAGAACCAAATTTGAAATTGATGCATTATATTCCTTTATGTTTTATAGAAACTTGATAAGTGTCAAAGATATCCGAAAAAATGGATATCATATAGAGACTATAAATAAGAATGACATTGAATATCTTTGCATTACAACCGAAAGGAAACATATATTGGAAGAATTACCAATGTTGTCTTCTGGATTATATTGCACAAAAATAAATAAGTTTGTATCATATGTTACAATAAACCTAACGACCATCCATTGAAGAACGCTAGTGACCATCCATTGAAGAACCAAAAGATTTTTCAATCTGATGAGTTTCTATGTGATGCATGTTCTAAAAAAAAAACTCATAATTCAGCCATCGCCAGCCAAAATTGGGAATGAATCACCATTATTGTAAGAGAGAATACATGGTTATATATGTGAATATATCCACCATTCATGTGGACAGTTTTGTTACCTTATGGTAATGATTGACGCATCTAGTAGATGCGTCACTTGAGTGTCTATTGAGAACATGAAATACGGCTTTCGCAAAATTCATTGCCATGATTACGCCATAAAGAAAGTCAGGCTTGATAATGCTGGTGAATTCACTTCACAAGACTTTAATGAATATTGTACGTTAATAGGAATCGATGTTGAGCATCCGGTCCTTCACGTTCATATACAAAATAGTATGGCTGAATATTTAATTAAACGGTTGCAATTCATTGCTTAAACGTTAATATTGTGAACAAATCTCACAATTTATATATGGGTTCATGCTATATTGCATGTTGTAGCATTGGTTCTGATACGACCAAATGCATATAATAAATATTTCCCTTTATAATTAATGTTTGGCAAAAAACCAAACGTCATTTCTGTGTTTTTGGGAGTGTGGTTTATGTTCCGATAGCCCCACCACAAAAAAACAAAACAAAAATGAGACCATAACAAAGATTGGGTATATATGTCGGTTGTGCATCACCGAGTATAATTTGGTATCTTGAACCACAAACTGGTGATATATATGTTTACGACACGTTTTGCCGATTGTCATTTCAATGAAGATAAATTTCCAGCGTCAGAAAAAGGAATTAAACTAGTACCAAAAGATATTATATGGTGTACACCATCTTTGGTATATCTTGATCCCCCTACAAATCAACGTGAGCTGGAAATTCAGAAAATTGTACATTTACAAATTTTAGCAAATCAACTACCATATGCCTTCACATGTACAAATTAAAAAGAGTACCAAAGTCATATATCCCCGCTGCAAATGCACCATCAAGAGTTGAAATTCCTAGAGGAATTCGCTGGGAGTAAAGCTAATGAACCTAAGGTTCAACTGAAATGCGGGAGGCCAATGAGCTATAAAAATAAAATTCTCAGAAAAAAAAAGAAAATGGGAGATAAAAATGAAAAAGGTTCAAGAAAACCAAATGAAAAGAAAAATCCTAACGACGATATAGAAAAATATGAAATTTCCATTAATTATGCCCGACATAGAAAATTATAGGCTAGAGATAAAATAGATGATTATAATGGAATATATTTTTTTTCTGTATCTAAAGAGATCGATCATAAAAATGATTATTCAGATCCAAGGTTGGTATATGTATGCCTCCAAAGACCTTATTAGGAAAAATGAAAATCTGCAATGCAAATTGAGTTGATTTCCCTCTATAAAAGAGATATCTTTGGACCTCTTGTCACTACATCTAAAAATATAAAACCTGTCCCATGCAAGTGGGTATTTATGCCAAAAAAAAATAATAAGAAAGATGATATCACACGATATAAATCTCAACTTGTTGCACAAGATTTTTCTCAAAGACCTAGAGTTGATTATGAAAAAACATATTCTTCGGTCATAGATGCAATTACATTCAAGTATATAATGAGCCTAACATCCTCTAGTAATTTAAAAATGTACCTTATGGATGTAGTAACAACATATTTCTACGGATCATTGGATAATGATATATATACATAAAAATCCTAGAAGGATTTAAAGTTCCTGAGGCATTAGACTCAAAGTCTAATGAAATATATGTGGTCAAATTATGGCGATCACTTTACGAATTAAAACAAGCCAGACGCATGTGGTATAATCGTTTAAGCAATTATTTATTAAAGAAAGGATATGTTAATAATGAAATATGCTTTTGCGCTTTTATTAAGAAATCTCCATCGGAATTTGTGATCATTGCTGTATATGTTGATGACTTAAAAATAATTAGAACTCAAAAGGAGATTGATGATGCAATAACTCATATGAAAGAAGAGTTCGGAATTAAAGATCTTGGAAAGATAAAATTTTGTCTCGGACACCAAATAGATCATTTTTAAGATGGAATATTTGTGCATCAATCAAATTATACGAAAAGGATCATTAGGCGTTTTTACATGGATAAAGCGCATCTTTTGAGTACTTAAATGGTCAATAGATTTCTGAATGTTAAAAATGATCCATTCAGACCTTGTGAAGAAAACGAAGAAATACTTGGTCCTAGAGTAACTTACATGAGTGCCATCGATGGACTTATTTATCTTGCAAATTGCACATGACCAGGTATTGCATTTGTCACTAATCTACCTGCAAGATACAACCCATATACCCACAAGCATTGGAATGGGATAAAACAAATATTTTGTTATCTTCAAGGTACGATTAACTTAGGAATGTATTATCCTAGAAACTATGCATTTGGTCTAGTTGGTTTTGCAGATGTAGGATATTTATCGAATCCACATAAATCTTGATCCTAAACTAGATATGTTTTCTCAATTAGAGGAACTAAAATCTCGTTGATTTCTCTGAAGCATATCCCTCGAAGGTTTTCTCCCACACTCAAGAACTCAAAAAAATAAAGAAGTTGATATCTAGTATATCTGCTCAAGTGACAACGCAACAGACATGCTTACAATGGCGTTTCCTACATCAATATTTAGAAAGCATATCCATAATATTAAAATGCGTCATTTACGAGATCTATGAAAAAAATTATACTTATCGTTTCTAGGGAGAAATTGTGTTTCTATACTTTTTTTTTCACGTCATGATTTTTAAATTTTTTTCATGATAAGGTTTTTTACAAAACAGTATGCATTAATAGATAAGGGGATTATTAAAATTGGATTATTATCCAGTATTGTGATTGTCTATTTATCACTTAATCTCCAAGTAATTAAAGTAACTGATGCTCCAGTCTTATTTGTATGGCTTATATATATATATATAAGTGAAGATGTGGTAGAGAGAAGTTAATAACAAAATCTCTCTTGCTCACCCTCTCGTCTATCATCTTCTTCTTTACAAAATTTATTACTTTTATCATATTATATAATATTATAAAATATTCAACAGCATTGGCAAGTCAGAACAAACCTAGATAATGTTTTTTTTTTTTTTTTTTTTAACCTAGATAATGTTTTATATTACAAAGTTTCCGTCTTGTTCTGAGTTTTTATTTGTGACCGCAAACGCAAAATGGCAGAAGTGATCGTGCTTTCTTCGAGCATTGTTCGTCCCAAAAAGATAAACAAATCGGATCGTACAAAGATCCATTTAACTCCATATGATCTTAAACTTCTTAATTTTGCTTATCCTCAAAGAGGTCTTCTCTTCCCAAAACCCGACGACGTAACCCATATCATCCATCGATTAAAGGCCTCTCTTTCGATTGCATTGGAAATCTACTTCCCGTTCGCTGGTCGTCTCGTCAAAGTGAACAACCATGAAGATAACACAGTGTCGTTTTACATCGACTGCGACAGCTCCGGCGCTAGATTCGTTCACGCCAAAGTCGAATCCGTCTCCGCAAACGATTTCCTTCAACATTATGACTCTGTTCCTGAATTTAAAAGGTGTTTCTTTCCTGCTAACGATCTCAAAAGCTTTGATGGTGTCTCTGAGCCCTTGCTTGCGTTGCAAGTCACCGAGATTAAGGATGGATTTTTCATCAGTTTTGGTTACAATCACATGGTGGCCGATGGTTCTTCCTTCTGGAATTTCTTCCACACTTGGTCTAAGATCTGTATGAATGGTTCGAGTTCGGATACTCACCCTCTTGTTCTCAAAGATTGGTTCCTTGACAAAGTCGAATACCCGATCCATATGCCAGTTTCAGAAACGGGGAGGCCACCAAGATGTGAAATTCCAACTAAAGAGAGAGTTTTTCACTTCACAAAGACGAATATCTCAGATCTTAAGGCGGAAGCCAACGCGGATATTACTTCCACTGATATGAAAATATCGTCCCTTCAAGCTGTTTTGGCTCATCTATGGATATCAATTATCAAACACAGTGGTTTAAACCGAGAAGAAGATACACATTGTATTGTAGCTGCAGATATGAGAAGGAGGTTAAACCCTCCTCTTGAGAAAGAGTGTTTCGGGAATGTGACTCATCAAGCGATTGCAACAGCCGAGGTGGGAGAGATCTTGGATCATGGACTAGGCTGGGCCGCTTTGCAAATTAATAAACAGGTGAGAACACTAACGAATGAAAATTACAAGGCATTTGCGGAGAATTGGGTTAGAAATGTGAAGTTCCCAAAAACAAGTGGTGGAATTAGTAGAAAGGCTGATACTTATTTGATTGCCACAAGCTCTCCATGGTTTGAAGTGTACGACAACGATTTCGGTTGGGGAAAACCAATTGCAGTTCGAGCTGAACCGGGCAATGGTATCGGTATCTCACTTGTAGTTTTTAGGGGTCTTGAAGAAGGCAGTATTGATGTTAATGCGACCATACCCTTATCCATGTGGTCCGATGTACTAGTGAACTTATTGACCGTGTGACCTTTGTATCATCATATTGGTCCAATAAGATGTTATCCTTCTATTAAATGTAATAGTATAAATTATTTAATTTAAATGCAATTCAGAATCAGAAATATTTGAATACCACAAGATGCATATATAACAGTTTAGTAGAAGAAAAATTGAGATATGTACGAAAAAAAAATTAAATGAGTAGAGAAATTTTTAACTATTTTTTAACCGACATTCTTCCCAGGAAAATAAATTCAACCATCTGGACATTCCGAAAATCTAACCCGAACAGAAATATATTTAGGAAAAATGTCAATAACTTACTAATTACTGTCATAATACAAAACATAGCTTCGAAGTTCGAATTATCAACTAATATATTCCATTGTTCAATACTTTTAATAATTGAATTGATCAATTAAACTTTAACTATGGTCATTTTTATTCACGTTTTTATTTGAGGTTTTTTAATATTTGAATAAACATGAAAAAAAAAAAAAAAATTTCCAACATCACTTTCTTCTTTTGTCGTCACTAAGAAAAAAATGGCGTGGGAAAATATTTCTTCGTCAAATGCTTGTCAAAATGTTTTTATTTAGTAGGGCCTCAATATGTTGTCCTTTACACAACAAAACTCAATGTTAAACCAAAACTAATTAAACTTTTCTAGGCACCAATTGATCCAACTATCACTTGTTCTCTATCACATTCATGATTAAGAAGATTTATTTATTGACCAATCATATCATTGATCAATAGGTTCACTAGTACATCAGACCACAAAGAAGAATTTAAGGTCGCATGACATCAATACTCCCCTCTTCAACTCCCCGAAACACCACAAGCATACCACCAGTACCATTAGCCGGTCCAGCTCGAGCCGCGATTGGTTTTCCCCAACCGAAATCATGATTGTACACTTCAAACCGTGGGGAGCTTGTGATGATCAAAGAATTCTTAGCCAATCTTCCAACTGATGTTTTTGGCATCTTAACATTTCTAACCCAATTCTTTGCAATATTTTCATAACTCTCATTCGTTTCTACCTTTACCGTTTTACTTATTTGCAAAGCAGTCTTGCCTAGCCTACGATCCAACAGCTCTCCCACAGTGGTTGTAGCCGTTGCGAGATTGGTTACATTCCCAAAACACTCTTTCTTGAGAGGAGGGTTTAGCCGCTGTCTCATATCCGCCGCTCCTTTGCATTGCATTTCTTCTTCTCGGTTTAGACCACTGTGTGTGATGATTGATAGCCATAGATATGCCACAACCGCTTGAAGCGACGATATTTTCAGATCCATGGTGCCAATTTCGTAGTTGGCTTTCACTTTGAGATCTGAAATTTTCTTCTTTGAGAAGTGAAAAACTCTCTCTTTAGTTGAAGGTTCACAACGTGGTAGAGTCTCAATCTCTAAAACCGGAATATGTATCGGGTAATCGATCCCTTCAAAGAACCAATCTTTGAGAACAAAAGCTGAATATTAGAATCCGAACCATTCAGACAAATCTTGGACCAAGTGTGGAAGAAATTCCAAAAGGAAGAACCATTTGTTAAATTCGGGCTTATCATGGGCTTCCAACTCAAAACCAATTGACAATGAGTGGATTGGCCCTAACCCTTTATATATTAGTATTGGTCCCTTCAAACTTCCAATGTGGGATCTTAACACGCTCCCTCGAGATGATGGCTCTTATCGGCCCATCTCGAACCGAATCCCATTTTAGGACCGGTAATAAATCCTTTTTGGGTCACCCTACTTGGGTCAACAAACAAGGCTCTAATATCATGTTAAATTCGGGCTTATCATGGGCTTCCAACTCAAAACCAATTGGCAATGAGTGGATTGGCCCTAACCCTTTATATATTAGTGTTGGTCCCTTCAAACTTCCAATGTGGGATCCTAACACCATCGGCCACCATGTGGTAGTAACCAAAACTAATGAACATTCCATCTTTCATCTCGGTGAATTGCAATGCAAGCAAGGGCTCCGAGACAAGGGCATCACGGCTTTGGACATTGTTCGCTGGGAAAAATTGTGGTATGAAATCAGGAACATAACCATGAGATTGAAAGGCATCATTCATGGTGACAGATTCAGCTTTCGCGTGGACAAATTTGGCACCCCAACCATCACAGTCGATGTAAAAGGACACCGTATCATCTTCTTGATTGTTTACTTTGACGAGACGACCAGCGAACGGGAAATAAATCTCTAAGGCAGTCGAAAGAGAACCCGTTAATCGAGGAATGAAACGGTTTTCCAGGTCCGGTTTGTGGAAGAGAAGACCTCTTTGATGATAAAAAAGATAAAGAAGGTCAAGATCATGTGGAGTTAGATGGATCTTTTCACGACGACCCGATCGGTTTATGTTTTCGGGTCGCACCATGCTTGAAGAAAGCACGGTTACTTCTCTCATTTTGAATCTATAGATAAGAATATGAATAATATTTGAAGATAGAAATAAATCAGATCAAACGCATATAGAAAAACTCGAAACAATATCTTTACAACTTGGTGCCTCCACCTTTACGATGAATAAAATATATTTATAGTATATTTTTCCGTTAAAAGTTTTAGTTTTTGTTCTTGAGGACATGCGAATATGTGAAGATTTATGTTATGATATAATATTAAAAAAAAAAAAAAAAGAACAAGAACATGTGATATATGTGAACTTTTGATGTTATATGACGGAGTGTCATTTACTCTAATGATTTAGATCGATATTTCCAAACGCACCGTCCATGCTTAAAAGAACAAACATATTATCGTAAACATTTTTTTTGTCAACAATTTATATTAAAAAAAATTGGATCCAATGGCCAATCGAAAGAAAAGTTATAGTTTACATACAATACATATTGCAGTTGTACACCAGCGACGCATGCAAATTTTTTAGAAATGAGAGAAATAGAAAAAGTTGAAAAAACTTCCTTTATTTCTACAATTTCTTTCAAATATATTAAAAAGGCTGGTCATTCGGTTGGAGAAAACATCATCTTCTCCTATTCTGATCAGTTTGTAACAAAAGAGACTTCCCTCTTATGTTTGATAATTAGGCACCTCATCACCTATATTAGAGCTTCTACTTCTGTTTGCAGTTGAGATAGACTACGGCAAATATTACATGCTCCCATAGATGACGTCTCGTCATTAATAGTAGAACAAAACCATCGCATTTATGAGAACTCGTCGCTTCCTTTCCACGATCCGTCAATAAAGCATCGATAACCTGTAAAATCTACACTATGTGTAGCTAGTACCTTAGAGGTAACATACTCTCTTGATTCCTCTTCCTGGGCTAAGGTCCATGCATGAGCTTCATCGTTTGCTAGTTTTAAGACATCAAGTTGATCCTTGTCAACGTTTTATAAATCTTTTAAATTTGGACTTTCCAAATATACCATATTATCCACAGGAAACTTGAAGGTGGAAAATATTTTGGTAGCCTTGAATTTATTTTTGTTTTTTGAATGAATGAATGTAAAATTGTATTCAACCAAAAATTTTTTTGTACATTAGATGCGTCCTTGTATTAAAATTTGATTTGAAATAAGATGATCAAAAGAATTAAGAAGCTAGACCCGAGAGGCGAACTAAATCTTTAGCCCATCCTCTAGCTTGCGGGAACCATGAAGCTTGACAGAAGATATCTTGTTTAGCACAACACGGTCTATGAATTTGATAAGTTGGTCTGGTGAGCTGGGAAGCTCTCCGTGCCTGCGTCTATTTCCCTCCATCCAAAGGGAGTGAACAGTTTCTTGAAGCACTAGCCGCAGGATATAACAGGTTGTTCCTTTGAACGTTGGAGTTGAGAGTGACGATAGGATATCCCAAAGGTTAGTAGAGTAGTGTCGAATGAGCTCGAAATATCTTTTTTTATATTTGCATATAGCGATGTTGAAGAAAAATTTCATGGAGCCGAAGGAATTTGCCACAATACCAAAGTTTGTAAAGCTGAGAGACACTCGAATAAGATATGTTTTATTGTTTCTTCATCTACACCACATCTAGCACAGTGAGTATCACAATTTATACCCTACTTTCTCAGTACGTAACCAAAACACAAACAGAGAAGATTTTCCAAATGAAATGGCATAACTTTGGAAGACATCGTATTTTACATGCGAAAGCTTGTAAACAACTAATGTTTTGATTTTACCAAATTATTTCCAGAGACGGTGCTGACATTTGAAACGCCACAAGTGGAAAACAAAATTTGGGCCTGTTTTTTTGACAAAAACAAGGAAAACATTAATTATGCATTTTGGGCAGCTGCAAAGGTTCGAACCCAGGAAAGATAGAAGAGCAGTCTTATACCTACACCACTAGACTAAAGCCGATTTTGGAAACTGAGGGCCGAAATCTTCATTAGCATGTCCTAAGGGCCAGCTCTGTTTGTATCAATATAATCATGTCTCGTGTATTGAGCTGGGATCCAGGGGTCATTCCATACAAAAATAGTTGAACCGGAACCAACTCTTTTAATAAGTCTTTTTTAACTAGAGATCGAGATGAAGTAGCTTTTCCATTCATAGGAAGGTGAATATGATTTTATTAGATTCAAAGGATTGCGTTTACGATAATATTTACCTTTAAAACCCTTAGCAAAAAATGAATCTAGGACTGTAATTAGCCGCCATACTTTTTTGTCGGTATTGAATCCATCCACATTTCGAAACTTGATTACACCTTGTGTTTTACTACGATATAACTTGTCTCATGCCATTCAATGCCTTCCTTTTCTTGGCCATTGGAACTCCATCAAAATCTGGAGATCGCACTCGTGAGTTTAGATGTAACCGATTTAGGTAACATGAAACATATATGACATCACGTATGTTGGTAATACAGTGCCTACTGATTTAATCACTACCTCTTTACCTCTTTTATATAAAAATTTTGCGGATCATCCATTTATTCAGAAATGTAGTCAGCCCTTGACAAACGAAAAGATTTTCTTTTTAAAACCACTCAAACTTTCAGATAAACTTAAATAAGATCCCACTCCACCAACATTAGTAATACCTACGTATCCATTAATTCAGTTCGTCTTGCTCCATCTACTTTATTACCAAACTGAACCTAGGATTTTGAAAAGTTATCATAAACAATATTCATAAAATATAAACGTCAATATAGAAGAAAATAGTTCTTGTTTGCATTACGAGTTTAAACTGATGAAACTGTAATACTTCTTTTCCTCTCTATCTAGTATACTAGGTTGTTTAGCGGCGATATTCGCGGCTTGTTGCATAATTCTTATGTTTTGTGTAAACAATAAAATTTTTTGTAGAAAATATAAAAATAAGACAAAATTACATATTATATAATATTTTCAATTAAAACATTGGTATCACATATATTTTACATTTTTAACAGCAATCCTAAAAGATAACTTTTATCTGTTTCTCTCTTTTTCATATTTCACACAATTTAAGTTATAGTAATAGGTTTTTATTTTTTACTACTAATTCGGATTACCAATTATATAACTGTTTTTTGGTAAATTTACTTTGCTGGAAAAATAATAATTTTAACTACAACCTTCTAAAAATATATATACTGATATTTATAAAATTATATGTTAGATCACAAAACTAAATATAATTACTATGATTATATTAAAACAAACGTAAGAAAAAGAGGTTTTTTCAAACACAATATATTTCATTAAAAGGTCACATAATTTTAGAAAATATATACATGAATATGTAAAGAAATAATCAAAACTCATAGTAGAGAATAAGAATGATATCATTTCAAAGATAACTTTAAAATAATTTCCAAAATTTTGTTTCAATATAAGTATAATTAGAACAAATTTAAAATTTTATTACGATTTGATATCTTGCATTTGCTCATATTTTAGTAAATACGTGTTATATATTACAAAATAAATTGTTTATATAACTCACAGATAATTTGTTTGTTTGTTGATATAAACTCCCACATAATAGTTTGAATTCATATTATTTTGTAAGTGACAAGCTAAATTTATTTTCACATAAAATCATATGAACTTCAATCTAAAGATTTTTTTTTTTTAACCCAAGTATAGAAGTATTTTTTTTAATCTGTTTTTTTCGGTAATTTCACTCATCAATTAAAATTTTGTGCTAGATTTTATACTAATGGTTTCATGTTTATAGGATTTAATAAAAAAGATATTTGTTTCAATTATATATATATATATATATATATATATATATATATATATTTATATTTCACTCCATTTTAATTATGAGTGCTAGGTTTCATTCTAATTATTTTATTCTAATATTCTACTAAATAAATATAATTTTCATGAAACATATGATTTCATATATATTTTTAAATATTAAGGACCAAATTTGGTTAACAAGGTTTTTTTTTTGTTTTTGAAAAACACTTAAGCCTCAAATTTTAAATAAAATAAACATTGTAATAATCTTAATATAATTATCCATTGGATCACAAAAACTAAATATAATTATACATACATTAAAAATGAATTACAAAAATTTATTCGAGATAAGAAAAAGGTAAGAAACGAATATTTGATAAATGTATTAGAATAATTTATTTCATTATATATTGCATAACTAAAAACAATACATGAATATGTTAGAAAATAATAAAGTATCTAAAGTAAATAACGGAGATGGATCTTTTCAACTTCATTCCATTGTTGTGCGGTAACTAAAATTGATATTTTTAACTTCTCATCACTAATAAACATGAAATTTTTTGCGATAGCCATCAAAATTGTTATTTTACATATGTTAATTCAAAATTAAAAATATGAAAATTAAAGAAGAAATATGTATAATCTAGTATGGTGTTATGAAAAAAAAATAGAAAAAAAATAGAATCAAATTCTCACAATGATGTTTTCATTGATTTCAACCCATATAACAAAAAAAAAATAGATACATGAATATAATAGAAGAAGATGAGAGAATGATTACTTAGAAGATGATAATCTAAAATAGACAATGAAGAGGAATCTTTAAAAAAAATTAAAAAACCAATGTAAATATTAAAATTTAGAATTAAGCTTTTACAATGATATTTAATTTGAGTTTTTAACACATACAACAACAACCACAACCAAAATAAAACCCCCTAAACAATAATAAATTTTTTTTTTGAGATATAGTGGAAGAGGATGAGAGGATGAGAGAATGAGAGAATGAGAAAATGAGTATTTACAGTATGAGAAGTGATATAATTTACAATTTAAAAAATAAATATGGGGGTTACAATTCTAATTGATTCTGTGTTGAATAAAATTAATTAGAAAAATATAATTAATGCATAATTTATATGATTTCAGTTTTATATTGAAGTGTGAGTTAAATGTATATATTAATTTTTTTTATTTGTGGTTTAGTTGAAAATAATTTTTTAAAAATTACATTGTCAAGTGCACCAATAAGAAGAGAGTGAAACCTTACTTTTATATGTATGGTTTAACTGACATACATT